ACCTGAGGACTCATTCTGGAGAGAAGCCGTACCGGTGCAACCACTGCACGGCCAGCTTCAACAACCCCAGCAACCTGCGTAGACACATGATCACACACAGCACTAATGTAGTGCTCTGATCAAAACTCATGTTTTAACATTCAGTATAGACCTTCTTTTTGCCTGATGCTCGTTTACTTTTTCTACAATGTACATTTTAGAGGAAACGCAGAGGTTTGACAACTCCAATACCTAATTTAAGCTTGTCTATAATAGCTGCAGCAGGTCATCGTTTTTTTTTATTTTTTATGCGCCAGTATGAACGCAGCATAGAAAAGATTTTTCTGCTTTTTTGTTGTAGAGGGGGTCATACTTTGTGAAAAGCAGAAGAAAGAGCGATGGGTTGTAATCATTGTGTATTTTTATACAATGATGAAATTTATGCTCTGCATTTAACACGTCACACGTGAGATACACCCAAGTGGAGCAGCGGGCAGCTATGCAAGCGTTCGGGGGGCAGTTAGGGTTTTTGTGTCTCAACTTTACATAAAAACAGACCGTCACCCGCCTGTTTCATCCCATGACCACTCTCCTCACGCACTCTGGAGGAGATGAAGTCATGGATGAACGAAAACTTTCTCCAACAGAACAGCTCCAAAACTGATGCCTTGCTGTTTGGCACTCCCCTTCAGCTCCAGTCACGTCCCATAAGAGCTATAACCTTTTACGGTCATCTGAAGAACATTGCACATCTCAGCCCATCACTATCTCAGTCTGATGCTGAAAAGCTCCTCCATACCTTTGTGTCTTCAACACTGGACTATTACAATTCAGTTCTTTTTGGCATCTCTGATAAAAACATTTTAAAAGCTCCAGTTCATCAAAAAACTAATGATAAAACCAAAAAACACCTGAGCACATTACACCAGTCCTGCGTTCTCTTTGTTGGCTTCTGGTCCCTGCCAGAATCCAGTACAGGATCTGTCTTCCGACAGCCAGTCAGATGACAGTTCCCCCCTCAGCCTCAAGGCGCTGCTCATTCCACACATCAAAACACTCCATTCCAGCAACTCATCCCATCTTCAATTCCCAGAACCATTCTCACCACCATGGGGCACCAAGCCTTTAGCTCTGCTGCTCCTTAGTTATGGAATTCACTTTCAAACCACCTGAGGGAACTGCAGACAAAATATTTTTTATGGCCCTAACCGATTTCTTTTTAGTTAATTTATTTAGTTTTTATGACTCTTGAAATGTAGCACTTTGAGATTTTACACATGTAAAGTGCCCTATAAATGGAATGCATTATTATTATATCTTTGTATTCTGTTAAAAATTGTGATTTGAAGCATTTCCAGTCCACTGTTGCTAAAGATTTTTAAAATAAACTTCCTGGCCAAGCTATATTTTTATCTTGGCCTGTGAAATTATTTAGACTGAAACTTTTCAGTATTTTATTACCAATATAAAAGACTAATCCGAGCTGAAAGCCAGTAACTGTCAGGGGGTGTCAGATTTTGCAGGAATAATGTTGCAGAAACAGCTACATAAAAAATAACTGAGGACTGTGCGGTTGATTTTCATTGACCAGTTTCAAATACAAACAACATGCAGTTTATTCTGGTCCACTTTATCTGAACCTCCAAGTTTGGATTATAGAGTTTGGTTTTTGATACAATATATTTTATAATAAAGTTTATTGTAGTTCAATAAACTTCATTTGTAAATTTCAGTCACTTCTGCTGGTCTGAGTTTAATTCTGTTATTAATGTCCACACACGCTTCAGGATCATTTTAAACCCAGTACTTATGAAGGTTTTTAATTTACCAAATTTATTACAATAATTACTTTGAATGGAGAGTTTTTCTTTCTTGACATATTCACTTGTTTTCTTGTTTTGACTGAGAAAGGATCATTCTTTGGTTTTACTGAAACTCTTATTTTGAAAAGGCTGATTTCTCACTGCAGGAGATTTTGTGTTTAAAAAAAAAAAATAATAATCTTCCACATTAGAAAATTCTCTTTTAAGAGAAATTGACACCAGATGAAGTCCAGAAGGCATCATTCCTTAAAAGGTTTTGGGAAAATGTTACAATTTGCTTCAGATACTTGAAATTTGTGTGATTTAAATACATTGTTTTCATATAAATACATTCGTTTTTTTTTTATATATAAACTTTTGATGTTTTATACCTTTTTTGTTCTAAATAAAATAAAAGTAAAGAGTTTAGTTGATTTTTTTTCATAGCCCAGTAATTTAAAAAAAAATGATTTAAAAGAAACATGAAATTAAAGTTAGTTGTATATGAAGGGTTAAAAGTGACAAAATAAATGTACTAATTGTTAAATACTTAAATTTATCTATTATTTAATATGTCAATAAATTGTCAAATATACCCATAAATTACAAAATGCATATACTTAAATGTCCCATTAAATGCCTTTTCCTCAGTTTTTTTGGAATTCCCAAACCGTTTCAAACTACTGGTATTGTGGATCCGTAGTTGTTGTTTTTTCATTCATGCAACCTTTATTTACCTTTATTTATTTTTACCTTTATTTATTTATAGTTTAGAAGTTCTGACACAAAATAAATTTTACTAAAGAACTGTCAGGTCCTGCTTTAAACCTCCAAGAAGCAGCACTGCTTTTCCCAGTATTTATGGTGTCTCATCAGATCTCGCACAAAGGAGCTGTGGAGGAACTTTCAAGGAAACGGGGAAATTCCTCACATTGTTCCTCTTTTCACTCGGCCCACACTGATGAGCTGTTCTCAGTTGTGTCACAGGTTTATCACATTTTAGAAGAAACCAAAATGCAACGAGAAAAATGCAGCCTCAAAGCTGAGTACTGAATATTAGTGCAAGTAAAAAAATAAAACAAAAGCTAATTAAAAACCAAATTAACTAAAAGTAGCAAACATTAAGCTACAAGTATAAAAAAAAAAGCAAAATGTTAAGTAGAAGCTAAAAGTTGCAAAATCCTATGGAAAAGCAAAAAAGGGGTAAAAGTTAAAGGGTAACAAAAGGCTTGTCAAATGTATCAAAAGGCTAATGAGAATCTAGAAAAAGCTAAAGGCTAGCTAAAAATAACTAGAAGCTAAAAATAGCTAAATGCTAGTTAGGAGTATCAAAATGCTAGTTAAAGCTGAAAGTAGTAGAAGATTAGCTAAAAGCTAAATATAACAAGGCTATCTAAAAGTAGCGTAAAGTTACCTTAATGCAGTGGTTCCAAACCCTGGTCCCTGAGGAACACCAATCATCCATGGGTTTTTTTTAGTTATTCCTCTGCTCCAACACACCTAATTTGAATGAAAGGGTGATTAACAGGCTTTTGCTGAAGTTAAGGAAGTAATTAAACCACTGAATCAGGTGTGTTGGAGCAGAGAAACAACTAACACATGCAGGATGGTGTTCCTCAAGGACCAGAGTTTGGAACCACACTTCCTTAATGTATCAAAAAGCTACCTAAAGGGTAAAAATAGCTAAAGGTCTGCTAAAAGTAAAATAAAAAGTTGGTTTAATGTAATAAAAGGCTAACTAAATGTTTTAAATAGCTAAACTCTGGCTAATTGTAACAAAATGCTATCTAAAAACTATAATTAGGTAAAGAATAAAAGTGTATGAAAACTAGTTAGAAGCTAATGGTAACAAGAAGATTGGTAAAAACAGCAATAGGTAAATTAAAAGCTAAAAGGACTGAAAGGCTAGCTCAAAGTAGCAAATAACTAGCTTGCTTAAAGTAGCAAAAAGCTAACAAACAGCTACAATTGGCAAAAGGCTGCTAAGCGAGATGTTAAAGGAAAAGGGCTTACTAAAAAATTCAGAAAGATAGTCATAAGTTTAAAATTACATGAGACAATAAACAAAGTGTGAAATGAAGAAATCTAAATGCCAAAGCTATTTGAAAAGTGGATGGCATGGTGGTGCAGTTGGAAGAGCTGCCGCCTCCCAGCAAGACGGTCGTTAGATCAAATCCCGGCCGGTGGGCCACTCTGGGTGGAGTTTGCACGTTCTCCTTGTGCATGCATGGGTTTTCACCAGGCACCCTGGACCAGAGTGCCTGGTTTCCTCCCACAGATCAAAAACATGCATGTTAGGCTGATTGGTAACTCTAAATTGTTCGTCTCGTTTGTCTATATGTGTCTCAGACTGGAGAGCTGTCCACCACCTCTCGCACAGCGACTGCTGGATATGGGCCCCAGTGACCCCCGTGACCTGAAAAGAAAGAAGCGGGTAAAGATAATGGATGGATGGATATTTTGAAAAATATCAAAGGTACAAAAATGTAAAAGTCTCATTCCTGAATGAGCTGAATGTTTTAAAATGTGAATGCAAAACTGGCACAAAGTGTGCAGAAATAGACTGTAAACAAAAGTGTTGGAAAAATAATGGTAAATTATAATAGTTAATTCATTCAACATTTATACGAGTTAGTCTCATTGAGTCTCGGGGACATGTGGAATGAAAGTGCTTTTAAGAAATCTGCCCATTTTAAATTAAAACATGGGACTCAAAACAGCATAATAAACCATGAGTAGTTGTGGTCAAGGATGACTCAGGGAGGTTTTCCCCTTTTAAACCAAAAGTCCTCTGATCAAACACAAAATGTGACGGTCACTTGAAGAGGTTTTATGTGCCAATATTTTTTTTTCTCTCTCGTTTTAGTGTGGAATGTTGCTACTTCCCTACAAATGCAACTTCCCTTCTGACCATTGTTCTTGTGCAATCAATGAAATGACATCAGTGTGTTTATTTGAAACACAGAGGGAGCGCCAGACGGAAATGCATGGGAGGAGATAGGAGGCGGCTCTGTTACAGAATTTACATTTAAACTTCCCATTTGTATTTAAAGACTGGCTCATGTCAGGAAGTTTGTTTCATTAAGAAAGGGATACTTTAAGCACCTGTGTGAGGATAAATTCAATTCTGAGTGCGCCGACATTACGGTAAAGATGACTCCGCCCACCGTTTGATACAAAACCCTGATGTCGCTTCGTTTTTTTTTTTTTTACCAGCTTGACCCACTAGAGAGGAGGGAAGAGGGGCTGAAAACGCTCAAAGCGGAGTAGTCTGGAGGGGAGTCGGGATAGGTTCTCCCTGAGCAGGTGAGTAAATTATTAATTATTAGCATATGTTTGTAAAATAGGTATTTCCCCCTACCCATCCATAGATTTTAGGTTCTCTGCAGCGCTGGCAAGGAGTGGTCACATATTCGACAGGAGCACGACTCCGGTTGGCTGCTGTTAGCTAACGATGCTAACACGAAAGTTCACATCGTGACCCGATCTTTTGTTACCCGCTATGCTTTTTTTTTTTACGTCTCAGTCGAGCACCCGACGCCAACGAACGTAACGGGACACCCGTCTCGGTTGGCTCTGGACGCCGCTTTCTCTTCGGTTCTTTTGTGGCCGAAGCTAGTTGCGCTGTTCTCGGCAGCGCTCGCTCGGCTATGTGGGTTGTTGTGATGCTAACGTTGCAGGACAAACCAGGTCAGACGCTGCCGAGCGAGCATTCAACCCCCGTCTGAGCTGAGTGGAGCTCATTTAGCTGGGCAGTGGCGTTAGCACAACCACCGAGGAAGTTAAATGTTTATAATCCGATGGTTGTTTGCTCGTCGCCCCCCGACCCACATTTAATTGGTCCAGTCTTAACGGGGAGATGCTAACTGCTAGCGGCTTCAGGAGGTTTGTATCTGAATCTTCGTTTGAAATTAGGTTTGATTTACTCCTGTGTCTGTGCACCCCACTTTCTCCTTTATTTTTGGGAATATAGTAAAGGAACTGATATGGTAAATGTCGCGCTTGTAACTCTTTGCTGTCAGCCCAATTTATATATTAAAAAAAAAAAAAACTCATTGGATTGCTTGTTACGACAGGGGTGCGTTTTTCGGCACAACACCGGCCCATTGTATCATCTCGATCAGATATCCAAAGCAAATTGGATATCTCCCCGGCGCCTCGGTTAACCAAAACATTTTGATTGAAAAGCTTTTTTTGTGTGTATTCGGTTCTACTAAGGGTGGTGGTCTGTCACACGAGCGGAGATGACTGAACCTGTTGGGTGGGTCGTGTGTGAACTTGTTTTGTTGGGTGGGGATAACTGTCAGCCTGAGTGTGAACAAGTAAACTATCCCCCGCCTCCCCCTTGTAAACACTGGTTTCCTACAGACACACATTTTGGTTTAGAGACTTCCCTTTGGACTTTAGGTCTAACCTAGTATGTTTATATAGCATGTGTTTGAACTTAAGGTGTAACAGCTCAGGTGCCACCACTAATAACACCGGACACCTGCCTCTTCTCCACAACTTGCCTCCAAATCATTGTTTGATTGTTGACAGTTGTTCCAAACACAGACAGGATTTACGTCTGCTCTTTTAAGGACTGCAGGTTAATCCATAAAGAGCCAAAACGTACAACGTAGTGTCTGCGTCTGGGCATACTTGTTAACTTCACGTGTGTATGTGTTAAGAGGTAAGTGGATTAGCGGGGTAAAAGCTTCAATCCCATTAGGAGCCCTGCTCAGCTGTGGCATCACACTTGCTTAGCATCAAATTGCTGTGTGGTTTAGGTGGAGGCGTGCGTGCAGATGTGCGTTTTGACACTGATTTTGTTGCGTCAAGGAAAGTTTTTGCTCCCGACGACAGGTGTAGGTGCTCACTAGAGTTTATTAAAGTCTACAAAAGGCTTTATTGTTGGCTGCACGTGCACATGATCACAGATGTCCCCTGACGGGGTTAAGTGAGTCATGCTGACTGATGGCTGCAGAATCAGACGAGGGGGAGTCTGACTCGTGGTATGTCAGAGTTCAGTCAGATGTTGTTGACCTCAAGGCAGAGTGCTTGCCATTTTGAACTTTTGCTACGGTCACACTTTGAACAGCAGAGCCTAACCCTTCCTCTTTGCACTCTCGTTCACTCAACTCTTTGATGCAGACTGTTTTAAAATGACTATCAGTTGGCACACAATTCAACTTTTTAAAAATTGTGTCACTGTTTAGTTTATATTGGTAATAATTTCAGTCAGAAGTCAGACGTAATGCTAGAAACCACCAGCCTGTAGTAATAAACCACACTCTATAGTTTCATTCAACTGTTTGAAACATTTGAATCAAAATAATTATAATGATTGCTGTCGGCAAACCTTAATGTACTGTTTAAAACTGTATTATAACCAAAGAACAAGACAAAGAAAAGTGTCGAAGTCTATTTTAGACCATGTAATCTTTGAGTCGTTGCCAAGAGGATGTCTCAGAGGATCTGTTATTGATATCAGACTCAACTTTAATTCTACAGATTTTAAAATCACAAGAACAGATTTGGAAGGAGAATAAATATGAGTAAAAATATATTTACAAAGTGATGGAAGATGGAAGTGTTTTTAAAGGTTGTAAAGGTGGAACAAAAAAAACGGTGGAGAACTGTTTTCGTAAAAATGGGAAGTGGTTTGTGGTCGCATGATTATCGTAATGGCTGCAAGGCCAAATGCAGACCGAGAAAAGCAGCTGTCGTTGGTTGATTTATTTCAGTTTATGTCCATTACCCGTGCACTTCTTCTTGTGTAATAGCATTTCTGTTGTTGAAACTTGTTTATAAGGATTCAAAAAAACTCCTTCCATGTCAAATCCATAACATCCTGTTAGTCAGGAAAAGGGGAAAGGGGAGGGTAGTGGCAATGGGACAGCGTTGATTGTTTTCATTGTTAGTCTAAACTCTTTGCGGACTTCCAAGGCCAAAACTAACAGCTGTAAGAGAAGGGGGTGGTGAAAGTCATTAGTATGCAAAGACCAGCAAAATTTAGCCCCTTCAAAAAAAAAAAAAAGGGACACGCACAACTCCCTCTCATGTGTCAGCCGATGTTATCTTTGTGCTCCCAACTCTTTTCACATTTGTGTCCGTTCTGTCAGTCGCACAAACTTCACATTGTTCCACCGGCCTCCCAGACTGACAGCTGCAAATTCCCTCCCGCCTGCGGTTACACTACAGCTACTCACACACTTACAAAATCACCCTCTCAGCGACGCCTGCCAAGAAATAACAATCATAGTTGACAAATCGCCTCGTAGGAATTTCATTTGTAGTCATTTGCGAAATAAGATTTGTAGATATTTTATTTACAGGCTCAGCATGTACTGTATAATTATTGGAAACCGGTGGCTAAGATGACATTCGATTGCCATTATTTTCCAGTTCTTGTGTCACAGTGACCGTATGACTTGCCTTGAAATGTCACAACAGTAAACAGCAATATCTGAATGTTAACCAGCAGTTTGCTTTTACAGCGGATGAGTGGGTGGGCTGCTAAATTGAACTGGTCTGAGACAATGTAAGGAATGCAGGATTAGCCTTTATCTTTTCTTCAACAATTCTGAGCTTATCCCTTGTTTGCCCTCACCTTCTCTTTGTTTTATTTGAGTTTACTTTGTTCGGAGCGCTCTTCTACGCTGCCTGTCTCTGTGGTGGATAATAACGGCCTTTTTCTGGCTGTGACCTTACAAAGTCATGCGTTCATGTGCGTCGGTAAGCAGGTCGTTGTTCGTGCAGGTAGATTATGACTCTGGATGAGGTCATGCCTTCCTGTTAGTCACTCTTTTCCCGTATGTAAATCCTGATTTTGCGTTCAGGTGAATTTTGTTTTGTTTTTTTCCTTGGGAAACTGCGTTGTAGCCACTCCTTGTTTTCTCATTAGACCATCCTACTTTCCTCCCTTTTTCCACTACATTTACCACACCCAAACTGGAAATACCTCTTTTTATTCCCCCCCCCCCTCTTTTATTATTATTATTATTTAATCTTTATCAATATTTAAAACTGATGCAGACTTTTAAGGCTTCATTTCATCTTCAAATTAGAAATGGTCCCAGTAGGCTATCTGTTGTGACATCACATTTAACGTCTGGCTCATTTCTTTGGAACGGGAGAGGTTGGGGGCGCTTGCACAATCCCGATGCAGGTGAAACTGTGAGTCACTTGTTGCCATCTCTTGAACTCATTATGCCCGTGCTTGTCTCTCTGTTTGCACTTGTTAATGCTCAACCTGTCAGACTCGAGGACACCTGCTGCTTGCAGTGTAAATGCAGGTCCCTGTTTGTTCCCCAAACTCCTGTCAAAAGTGTCTGTGCTTGTTGGCCCGACGGAGAGAGAGCAACAGACAGAAAACCTGAAATCAAGCTTCCCCCTCCCTTGCCTTGTCTAACCGGTCAGGCAGGTGGGAGCATGTGTGTGGCAATACCTGGCTTATTCAGCCTTTAAAGCCCGAGCTGATGAAAAGCCAGGTTGCTGCAGCTGAGCGTGTATCAACAGATAAGAGTCTGAGCGTCTCCCTGGTCCACTTACCATAGTTGGGTCTGAAAGAACAATGTGTCTCTCAGATCAAAGTTAATGTGGGGGTGTTGAAGGGATCAAGAGTGTTTGAGTTTAGAGAAAAGAACGTCAAAATAATTGTGTTAGATTAAAGGCAGATGAGAAAAAAATGGAAGTTAGAAAAATAATTTTAAAAATGTAACATGCAGCAAATGTTTGAGTTGATGGAGCTTAAGGTTCTCTGATGTTGTTGCCAATAATAAAACCCTCTTTTTTTTTTTTAATGCTGACGGTGGATTTTTTTTGTTGCTAAAAATAAGCTGCAGGTTGGTCGGTTTCCCGCAGCTAGCTGACTAAATGAAAGTAAACGAGTTACTGTATATCTATCTCTTACACTGCCCTTTTTTCTCACGGCACAAACACGCCGTTTGACACATCTGTACGGTATTCTCACGGTGCTGCTGTTTTTCTAACTGAGGGGCCTTCACTGAAACATTTTCTCCCTGGCTATCTTTGTCGTTCTCCTCCCTCCACTTCAGTTTCTGTGCAGTCTCTTTTCTGGGCTCGGTGGTTCAGCGGCCTTCTACACATGATCAACTAGAGCTCCGTCTCTGACTGCGGCGTGATCTGTCTCCTCGTTAACCAAACCACGCCCACAGGTGAGGGTGTGTTCGTTTAATCTGAACCCAACTTTTAAGACATTGTGTTTTCTGTTTTGTCTTGCGTTTAAACCTAACATGAAATGTGCAATTCCTTCTAGATTTACTGTACAGTGTTCCAACTACCTGCATTTTTTAAGGTGTTTATCTGTATTGTTTTATTTTGTTTTTATCACAGTAAGTTTAAACCGCTGATGCTTGAAACAACACAGTGACCAAGGGCACATTTTTCTTGATTAGATGGTCCTATCTAAAACTTCTGGGTGAAAAAAGTCAAGTAAATGTGAGGCAGAAACACATAATATTGCTTTGTTAAGAACAGCTTTCATGTTTCATTGCTTTTTAAATGTGATGCCTTGAGGCTGTCAAAACCTCAGAGGACATCTCTGTATCAAGTGCTTGTTTATTGATCTGCGTAACGAGGAAAACGTGATGTTGACAAATTAACATGCTGCGATATTTACGAGTGCAGTAACAGCAGTATTAAAGAATCTGACTGATCATCGCTGCTCTTCACCAGTCGTTTCTTGTACGACTTTTCAATGCCAAACTGCGTTGTGGTTTTATACTTTAACTCTGAAATCTTTTTATTTTTTATTTATTTTTTAATAAAAACAACAGTGTTGAGTAATGTGGACTCATTGCGGAGACACAGCCGTGTGAAAACCTATGAATCCTGCGTGACGTGCCTTCTGAAGCATTTGCACTGTGCAATAATCCACTGTAGTTTTTGGGGATTTCTCAGATGAAAGTTTCAGATAGTAGCATGTCTTTTAAAGTGGTGGCCACCGTGCTTCTGTTGTTGAAATGAAAGCAAGACCTTCTGGTGTAATCCAGATACCAGTGCAGTTCCAAGAAGATATCTAAGCCTCCGTCACAAAATGTTCTTTCTCAGCAGATAAATTAGGACAACATAACCCTTCCTTTTTCTAGCATCAGCCCCCAAAACCCTGATCTGCCCAGTCCTGCTCTACTTTGTTTGAAGTATCTGTTCTTTCTTAGGCACCCTCTCCCTATGCTGTAGTGTGTTTTAGGTCTGTATAGCCATGTATAATGCCCCCCCTTCTTTCCCCATGGGGCTGTGTAGTGTGTATGGAGCAGTGTGAGAATGCAGCAGCTCTGCTGGAGTCGGTCAGGGAGCAGGAGGTGCAGTTTGAACAGCTGACCCGGGCGCTCGAGGAGGAGAGGAGGAGAGTTGGCCTCCCTGCCACCAGCCCCTCGGCCCTGGGTCGCCCCCTTCCTCACATGCAGGTAACGCCCCAACGAACCCAAACATCCCCACTCTACAGCGCCCATCTTTTTTGCCTCCCCGTCCAGTACTTCATGGATTTTTCTCATCATAAAACTTTCATTCAGAAGTCGTGCATCATTTTCTTCTAACATCCAACAATCATTCGTCCCTTCATCTGGGGTTTGCAACGTTTGTGTCCTCGTGTTTCAGTGTTGTGTCACTGTAAGAGTTTTTCTTCGAGTCTTCATCTTCAAGCATATCAGTGCATGCCTTTGTAGAACCAAGTCCATCAACATGCCTGAGATGATCGTCGCGCACTTTCTGCATCACCTTACTGTCATTCATCGGCTGCGCTCTTTAGTCTCCATGCACACCTTTTGTTGCCTCCTTTGATGGAATTTCATTCATTTTTCTTTCTGCTCCAGCATGTCACTGAATGCAACACTCATCTTTTGTGCACGTTGACTCAGTCCTGCATCTAAACGAGCATCCGTAATGTTTTCACTGTAGCCAGTTGTGACAACTTCCTCTTGGAATTTCCTGATTATCACAGTTGTAATAAATTATATATTTTTTTTAACATGACATTGGTTAACTATTTTCTATGTTGTCATTGTATAGCCTGTTTTGCTGTTTTCAGTCTAATATAATTTTATTCAGATCTGTCCAGAGATTTTGACAATCCAAGTAAGCCCTATCTAAATTTCCGGAAGCCCTCACTGATGTATTCAAACGGCGGGTTTTGTCTGACAGTGTGCACAATTCAGACTATTCAAATTATTACCAAAAAGAACAACAGGAAAAAAAAAAAGTATTTTTAGCTTTCAGAACATTTATTTATTTATTTTATTTATCAATTTATCTTTTCTTTCAAGGTTTGTACTAAAATACAGTGATCTTAAAAAGCTGATGCCATAGTCAATATGTCTTAACATTGAACGTTTTCTTCCAGAAAGGGTTTAACTTGCTTTGGTGATTCTCATTTTCAACATGGTTTTTTTTTTTTTTTTTCATATCTTCATATCCAACTTCAAATTTGTTTTATTTATTTTTTGTTTAAATTTTGTTTAACTGATGGTCTTAAAAACTTACACTCTTGGTTTGATTACTCTTGACTTGTTTAGTTGAATAAGCATCTATTGTCTTTTACTATCCCCAATTTTGACCCTTCCTGGTTGTTGAGCAAAGCAAACTTTTTGCTGCATGTGGACTCAGAAAAATAAAACAAATTTCCATTACTCCTTTAGGCGACACTTTGAGATTTAGAATCTAAATCAACTCTTTGTTCTCTCAAATATTTTTTCTTTGAATTATTTTCTTCTTTTAAGGTCTCACTGACATGGATTAGATCTTGTGTTTAGTCTTTTCTGAATCTTCAATAAGATAAAGGCCTAAAAGGCACACATTTGTGTTTTATGGCCTTGTCTCATTATCAGTTAGAGATGTACAGTAGGCTCCACCAGCACTGATCCAAAAGTAGTTGTTGTAAACAAGTTTGTATTATGGGAACGACTATGTAGAGGAAGTGTGCCCCTCCAGCTATAAAAGCTCAGTCTTCACTTCCTCACTCTTTAATACCAGTCCTTCCTCTTTGTAAACCTAAAAAGCAGTAAAAAAGGTATAATTGAATGTTTTTATCTTGACTTCGTTTTTTCCAGAGTTGCTATCACAGTAACATTGAAACTGATAATGACTACGAGCAGCAGAACGATGGCTGGGAAAGATTTTCTGTAACATGTTTCACATGATGTGACTGATATTTCAGTCAGCCTAAAGTTAGATTAGACAGTTTCACAATGTGGCAATCATTGATTATGTAAGAGTTTACTGCGAGGAGAGGAAGGCTGCAAGTATGACTGCCTGCATTCCAAAATTTTCATCTCCTGTGATTCACGGACCGTCAACGTGCAACGATGTGGTCAGCACTGAATTTGCTTCAGCTGCAGTAATATAAGATGTGTGGTTGTTTTAAAATAAGTAGACAAAATGGGCTGCAGGGGGAAATGTCTTTGACCTTTTTTATGTTTTGTTTCAGCAATATTGTATGATTACAAGTATTTCTGCACTTTGTGGTTCAGACTAGTCTTCCTTTCTTTATTTAGAACGGGCGTCTAGGGGATGCAGACATAGAACGTCTGAAATTGACCGACTCTTACATAAACGGTGCACAGGTATGTGTGCTTATTCAGTTTTTTTTTTTTTTATTTGCAGAGGGAATGAATCAGTTAGTGTGTGTGTTTTCTCCATTTCAGTACAGAATGGTGGACCCTGCACACGGCACTCTTGATGAGAACTATACACCAGAGGATGATTCCCAGGAAGCACACTCGGTCTTTTCTGAGGAGGGAACCACCCGGCGGATAGATAATGGGGTAAAATGATGCTACTTTAATCTCCCCATCATCTGATTTTACAAGATTTGTGCATTGTGCTCAACATTACATTTGTCCTGATCTCACCGTCAGATGAAGAAACCAGTCTTGCGCACAGTCATTCCCTCTCTGACAATGTCCATCGACGGGGGATTGTCGCCTGGTATGGGCGTCTACAGCGCCACACTGGACCGCCCCTATAGGCCAATTCCAGGTGACTACCCCACCGCTACAGTTCCCAGAAACTATCACTATGGCCCTGTGGGAGGATATGATGAATACCGTGGAGGGCCCCCCTCAGAAGCATACACCAGTCTGAGCCGAGGCTCGCACATGGATGAACGTTACAGGTACAGGAGCACACATTTTTTTTTTGTCACCCTCTGTCAAAGACATGAGGACAATAGTGTTTTTGCCTCTCTGTGTGTTAATTTATGATGTTAGCAAAATATCTCCTTAACCCCTGGATGAATTTTAGATTGCATAAAACTTTGTTTGTTTGTTTTTTACTTTTGACCAAAATGACTGTAACTAACTTAAGTTTTTGGTTGATCGAGTACAAAGAAAACATTCCCTGTCATGCTGTCTGTCAGATTTGTACAAACATTTTGGAAACTCAAAGCTTTACTAGACTATAATGGTCCTATTTTCATTTTATTTAACCCCAAAAATGGCCACAATCTGAAGTGATGACTTGTTCAGTGCAGCAGTAAACCAAAATTATATTTATTTTTGTAGTTCCCAGAAAAGTGGTTACTAAAAGATTTTATGTAATAAACGGATATGGTGGTTTGATTAATACAACTTGTCATTTCCTTAAAAAAAAAAATAAAAATCAACCACATCTACGATAAGTCTGGCCCAAGTGTGATGAGAAGGGTACAAACCATAAAACCCACTTCATAACAGACAAATAAGTATCAGACATTTTTTTTTTTACTCAAAGTAAAAGAAACTTGTGAAACTTGTTACTGATTTATAAATAACCCTCATGCTGTAGGACTTTGTCGGAAAGTGGGATGAATGTATTATCAGAAATAAAAAAAAACACATTGCTGACTAATCTCTTCCATCATTCTCATCGTTGTTTAGGCCCGTTGAAGGCTACAGAACTCTGGACTCAGGTTACCGGGCGCCCAGTCGTCAGCTGGACCCATATACCGCTCAGCCCCAGGTGAGTCGTGGAATGAGGGCTTTGGGCTCAGCATTGGAGATGAGATACGGTCCTGGTCATTTCGGTCTGGAGGATGATCAGCGCAGCATGGTATATGACGACTACGGCATGGGGCCTCCACCTATGCACCCTGGAGGCTACGGCACTATGCCACGGCTTGGTACAGGCCCAGTGGGGATGGACAGACGCAGACTCAGGTAAAACAACAAAATGGTGTTCAGCCCTTAACGCAGAATATGTTCAATGCCTTATTTGGGATCCTAACTACTGTTGATCCATCTTCTGTGGTTATTTGCAGGAGCTGTGAGGACACTTTAGATAGTGACATGGTTGGAGTTGATCCTTATGCGTTGGGGGTTCCTATGATGATGGACAGGGGTAGCATGGCTTCACTGGACAGCACATTACGGAAGGCCCCTCCCACTTCATGGAGACAGCCAGAACTGCCAGAGGTGATTGCCATGTTGAACTACCGTCTGGATCCCGTTAAGACAAACGCTGCTGCCTTCCTCCAGCATCTCACGTTTAAAAATGACAAGGTGAAGTCATTCTCACAGCTACATCAATCATGCAAAATTTAATTCTACAAAATAAGTTTGTTTTTCTTTTCTGAAAATGTTTTTGAAGGAACTTTCCAATCATACTTGCAGGTAAAGTCAGAAGTGCGTCGCCTAAAGGGCATTCCAGCCTTGGTGTCGATGTTGGACCATCCCAGTAAAGAGGTTCATCATTCAGCCTGCGGAGCCCTGAAGAACATTTCATACGGACGAGACGCAGACAATAAGATCGCCATCAAAAACTGTGACGGAGTACCTGCTCTAGTCAGGTTACTGAGGAAGACCCACGACCAGGACCTTACTGACACGATCACAGGTGTCCCTTTTCACAGGGTTCCTATTTAAGTGAATTCTAATTTTTAATATTTTTTTTTTGCCTTTCTTTGTTTTTTGTTTTTTTTACACAAATGTTTATGACCCGAGCAACCTAAACAAACACTTGTTCAAATATACACAAAGTGGGGAGAAAAAAACTGAACTTCAAAGCGATAGAGAATTACAAAAAATAATTAAATTGCATTTGAGAGTAAAAACACAATTTTCTGTTTCTGTTTTGTTAATTTATTATTTGTTAATAATATTATCCTCTTGTCCAGGCACCTTGTGGAACCTCTCATCTCATGATTCGGTAAAGATGGAGATCGTGGACCACGCCCTTCATGCCCTAGCTGATGAGGTTGTGGTTCCTCACTCAGGCTGGGAGCGAGGAAGCAGCGGGGCAGAGGAGAGCATCAAACCACGACACCTAGAGTGGGAGGTGTCTTTGACCAATACTGCTGGCTGCCTTAGGTATGAGCGTGGTCGGCAGATGGGGAAAAATAGAGAAATGAAAACAAAGAGAAATATGCCTATTTTTCAAATGAAAATGTGCAGATATGTTAACTTTTCCCACTGTGTTCAACAGAAATGTGAGCTCAGAACGAAGTGAGGCCAGGCGAAAGCTGCGAGAATGCACAGGGTTGGTGGATGCTCTGATGTACATCGTCCAGTCTCAAATCAACCGCAAAGATGTGGACGATAAGGTAACTTCTTCAGAGACGGCAGTAGGTTTTTCTTGCATATTAGTTTTTGTGCTTATGAGTATAAATCTTAGTTTTTTTGTCGCCCCTTCTTCCTATAGTTGGTGGAGAATTGTGTCTGCCTCCTGAGGAACCTGTCGTATCAGGTTCACCGTGAAATCCCCGGCTGCGAACGCTACGCCGAGGCTGCACCTCTCAATCAGGGCTCAGCCCAAGCTCACAAAGGAGGCTGCTTTGGCTCACGAAAGGGCAAAGGTCAGTGTCAGACTTGAAAACCAAGTGGTACTCTGTGTTCGAGACATTTGCTGTTGAAAGACGGAGCAGTTGCTGGTTGGTTTGAGCTTGCTGGTGGTGAAGGCACCTGTTGCTGTTTTTCACACTTTACCACTGTTTCCCTCTCCTCTTCCTCCCTCCTCCCTTCCTTCATCTCTTCTTTTCTCTGCTGTATATAGATGAATGGTTTTCCAAAGGTAAGTGTTTTCCTCTTGGTGTTCTCATGAATGTTCAAAACCACAACCATCATCTATTTTACTAACAGAAGGTGAAAGTTAGAGAAACAAGGCTCTTCATTTATGGGTTTACATGCAGCAGGAGAGCACGATCATTTTCACTGAAACAACGCTGCATGTTGACGGTGCTTGTTCCACTGACTGCATGTTCATTTTTAAATTCATTCCACCCTCATTTCATCTGCATGTTGTAGTCCTTGAGTTTACTAATCCTTATTTATTTGCAGGGAAGAAAGATGGAGATGATGGAAGTGTTGATCAAATTGATATTCCAAAGAGGACAACACCTGCCAAAGGTATCTTATTTTTATTATTAGGTTGTTCTTATAACACAAGCAGGTAAAAAATATATACAATTTTTAGAAAATTTTTATATTTTGATGTTTTATTACATTTTGAGCTCATTATGTTCGCGTTGCATTAAATTATTTTAGAAGCTGTCAGAACTTTTAAACCTGCGCTTTCTCTTTTAGTCAAATTATTAATATAAGGTTATATTTGAGGGAATATGAAGTCCCTCATTACCACACTCGTTATACCAGAATTGTCTAAAGGTTAATGGATGTGATTGTTGTTGTTGTTGTTGTTTTGGATATACAGTAGTTCCTTGTTTATCGCTGGTGTTAGGTTCCAGGTCCCCCCGCGATAAGTGAAAAACCATGAAGTAGGGATAGTAGTACAATAGAAGAGAAGCGCAGCAGGGCAGCAAAGGGTTAACCCTTCACACAGCTGATGCAGCACAGAGCAGAAATGTACTTCTTGATCAAATACACTAACAACTGAACATAGAAGTTCTAAAATAATGAAATAACGTAACACTTTTTATTTTATGATTATGACGATTTTACAATGTGACATACTTTGAATTTTAAGTTGGAAGACAAAAGTCGATCGTGCAGCTGGACAGCAAAGGGTTACAGCTGCTGCAGCACGGGGAGAAATGGATATTTTTAGGATTTAAACTTTAGAGAAATTGCTTTTCCTGCGAAAATGCAGTGTGACTGCTTATTGTAAAAGAACTTGCTGAAAAACAGCTGAAATTAGCTAAAAAAAAACATGCTGAAATGTAGCTGAAATGGAAGAACAAGCCTACGTTGGCAGAAGAAAGCAGAAAGAACATATGTTTGTTGAATTTGGTTTAAATGAGCAGAAAAATTAGTAAATTAGCTAAAGAAAAGCTGAACTTGGCACGAAATAGCTGAAAAGTAGCTGAAATGACGGAAGGAAGCCTAAATTACCAGAAGAAAGTGGAGAGAGCACAGTTGTGCCTGATTAGGCTGAAAGATGCAGAAATGTGCTCATAAAAGTGGAAATTCTCTGGGGGAAAAAATTTAAAAATTACAAAAATAAACTTAACAACAACCTTCGCTTTCTGTTCATGTCAGGTTATGAGCTGCTGTTCCAGCCGGAGGTGGTTCGCATTTACACATCGCTGCTCAAAGAGAGCAAGAACCCCTCGGTGCTCGAAGCTGCTGCTGGCGCCGTCCAGAACTTGTGTGCCGGCCGATGGACTGTGAGTGCCTGTTTTCTTTTAACACGTGAAACACAGAGCAGAATTGTCTTTTGATCTGTGAAATTTGTTATTCTGACCCAACCCTGATGTTTATTACTGCCTCTGTGTGTTCCTCAGTATGGTCGGTATATCAGGGGCATGGTGCGTCTGGAGAAGGGGCTCCCCATGATGATAGAACTACTTGGTCACAGTAACGATCGTGTGGTTCGGGCCATGTCTGGAGCCTTGAGGAACCTCGCCATCGACAGCAGAAACTGTGAACTGTTAGGTCAGACATTCTTTATTTTCAGAAGAAGCCGCTCACGCTGTTGAGCACTTGCTCACTTTGAATGTTTCTCATGCAGGTTTGCATGCTGTGCCTCCCCTCGTGGCCAACCTGCCTGGAGGCCAGAACCAGTCTGGGCGCGCTCTGTCAGAGGAAACGGTGGTGTCTGTACTGAGCACGCTCGCTGAGGTGTTGGGCAGTAATCTGGAAGCAGCAAAGACTCTCAGGGCTTCACAAGGCATTGAGAGGCTGGTGCTTATTAACAAGGATGGGTAAGTGTCGTCTTAACACAGGTGTTGGCAGTTTTTTTTTATTTATTCTTTTACTCTGATTAGGTAATTTCACAAAAATAATTTTAGTTTTTTTCCGTGAGTGTCGCTCATTAAGCAGGATGAATGCTTCTGCAATGTGCAAATGCATTTTTGTGGGTATTTTGCAGCAAGCGCTCGGATCGTGAGGTGCGAGGAGCAGGTCAGGTGCTGCAGCTCATATGGGCTCACAAAGAGCTGCGTCGGCCGCTGGAGAAAGACGGCTGGAAGAAGTCGGACTTCATGGTCAACCTCCACCACGGCGCAACCACCAACGGTCCGAGCACCAGAGCTAACGGCACCTACGAGGACAGCACCACGCCCCTGCTGGACAGAGGTACGAACAATAGCTGTGCCTCCACAACACTTGAAATAATTTCAGACTTGGTAAAACGTTTTTTTTTTCCCTGCTTTGTTTTCTTTATCAGGAGAGAAGAGGGATGTGATTCCACTGAACAACCTTGGCCCCGGTCGGTCCATTTATCTCTGCTGCTCTTTATTTTTTATCAATAATGTTTTACAACCTGATAAACGTGCTGACAGTTGTTTTCTTCCCTCAGAGGCCTACTCTACACTGGACCAGAGGGAGAGGAGACACACTCTCGATGACGCCACAGACACTTTACAGGTACTTTACATCACTGCTGCACTCATGCTGCCTTTATTGAACTAATCCCCACAGATATCGAACTTTTAACCTCTCAATTGCTGACACTTATCTCACATTCACTTCCTTTCCACCTTCTTTTTCTTCTCTGGTTGTCTCTCAGCGAGGGGTGTATGGGGGCAGAAAGGGCTCCCTGCCTCTGTTGGACTCCTACGATGGTTAGCCCTACCCCCCTCCCCTCTACCCCTCTCTGCATGTAACAGCATGGTATGTCCAACTGACCTCCAATCCTGCATGTGCTCTAAAAGTTGTGCTTCTCTTGTGACTTCAGGTCCTCAAATGAACTGTGTTTTTGTTTTATTTTGTCCACGGTGGTGTACTGAAACAAACGGAAGCCCACTCTGGTGTTTATCTCTGTAATACCCAAATGTTCTGTGCTGTACGCGATGTTACAGCAGTCTGTAACGTGATCCTTGTGCGTCGTGCTCCATGAAGTGTTTCACTTCAGCTTTGAAGTCGGAGAATACAGATTAAAAATAAGATGCTTGTTTTGTTGTTGATGTTGTGCACGGGTGCTGTCTTAATACCAGAACTTTTTAATTTGATAAAAATTTAAAATATATATATATTTTTTAAAACAATTTTCTGCTGTACTTGCTCAATGCAACAAATGCTAAAGTTAACACATTAATTCTCCAAAAATGTAGGTTTGTTTTCAGTATGACAAATAACCAGGATGTAGTTTCAGAGCCTCATTAAACCTCCTCTGATGATTTATGTACCAAGTGAAACACTGCAAATGTCATTTTCATTTTTTATTAATGCATCTATTTGTTAAATTTAAGGTATATTAACATTAAAGTATTTGTTACACCCTCCTCATCCAGACAACATTCAGAGATTTTGAGCACCCTTGTGCAGTTACTCATTAAATTACATCATAAAACCCAGATTATAGACCTATAATATCCAGATATACCCACCTTCTCCTTCATTTAGACAAATAACTGATTTCAAGGCTGTTGGTCACGGTTTTAGTAGCAATGCACAGATCAGGTTTATTATTTGATTCTAATTTCTGATTTCTCTGTGAGAACGTTGATAAACATTTTTAAATTTTCTAGCTGAATAGGAAAATCTGTTTGTTCATAACATGTTTACTTTTTCTGTCATTGAATTATCGACGGAGAAGCATGTGTACTAATAAACTCCCAAAATATTATTTACAGTATGTAACCTTAACATGTTTTTCCTCTTTTATTTTTATTTCTTTATTGCACACCTCCCATCACAGGGCAATATTTCTTCAATATTATTTTCAAACTATTGCAGATGATGTGTTCAACACACAGTTTGCTTAAAAACAGATCTATTGTGTTGAATAGTTAAATCCTACATTCATATCCATTTTCATGGTAATTTAGAGCTCGATGATAACAATTTAACTATAAAATCTTTTTTTTACATCAGGTCACATGAAGCTGGACTTGAATACGTCAACAGTTTAGGTGGCAGCTGGTTCTTTAATTGAAAACCTCAGACTCTGTTACTGAGCAGTAAAATGAGTTTATTTCTACCATGAACTGGCACCTTGCTCCGGTGTATCATGGACTGGGCATGAGGGGGAAAAAATTGAACAGTCTGGTGCATTTTCAGCACCCATTCTGTAAATTAATCTGCTTGACTCAATTATTTTTTTAAGGGAAAACAAATCTTTAGGGGATTATAAAGGGTTGCACTGAACCTCTCAAGAACAAAATTGCACATTTTTGAGTAAATAGATTTTGCAACCAGAACTATAAAAATGGTAAACAACTATAAAAAGCTCATGGATTCAAAGGTGGCATGAGACACCAATTCAGAAACGACACTGGTGACGTGATGTGAAAGTCTCCTGATGCATGCTCAATAATCAAGATGGAAAGATCTAACAAAGTTAAATCAGGTCCTCTGGACGGATGCAAAAAGTAGAAAATTAAAAGTATTGGGACGTTTCATCTATAATCCAAAAAGATTTGGTCAGTCTGAGGAGCTGTATTAAGCTCAGTCTTATAAATAGCACCTTCTCATAGTGGATCAACCAGTTTGATGTGAAAGTAGTAGGACCAGTTAAAGAAGCAGGAAGTTGTTCAGTGAGGAAAAGGTGCTCAAACCACTATTTACTCATTTAGTGTCCATTTAAAGTTCTATCAGCTTGAATAAAATTTGTTAAAGTTTGGTATTTGTGACAGCACTAGCGTACAGCGTGTATTTTCCTTGTCATTTTGTTGTTATTCAGCCACATTCTGTACCTGGTTTTAATCTGTTTCTCTCTTGTTTCTGCAGAAAAACTGATAGTTTGTATCACCCAGACTGGGCCGTCGCTGCCCCACCACTGCTACTGAGGAGAGAAGACTCTGACATGGACTGTTCCTCTCTTCTTCCTCTTAAACTCCTCTCTTATCGCCACACAGACGGGATCGAAACACGAGGGTCGGCTTCCAAAGAGGCCGTGCTGCAGGCAAAGAGTTTCAATGCAGCACGCATGTACACACACTTATCTCGTTCAATTGTAGCAGCAGAAATATATTCAGTTTATATATAATAATTGTCTTCTATAAAGGCAATGACCTTTGTTGACAATCATTTAACTCGTCGTTCAGCTTTTTTTCCTGTGCTATTGTCAAAAGTCGAACCTTTTCTTGGTCAAAATGTTGCTGCCAACACCTTCATCCTGATGACAGATTTGTATTTAGACGTCTATGTAGGGTATAAGCTGTATATAAAAGGGATGGCTGCGTTAGTTTTGGTTTGTTAATTTAAATGGTCCCTTCCCGCTGAGCGTTTGGACGTTGGACGTGCCGACAGGCTGCCCTGTAGATGGAGAATGTTTATATTGGGAGTTATTTTCCTGTCTAGAGTTATTTTCTGTGGGATGAGCACAGACCTGAAAAGGACAAGTGTGTGTGTGTGTATATTTGTCAAAAACGAAACCTGTGGCTGCGTGCGTTTAAAAATGAATACAGACGTTTTGTTTTCCTCATTGTGAGCGAGCGTGTCTTTGCGTGCACAGACCAGACACATGTTACATTACTTTTTTTTTATATATATATATGTTCCCGCTGCCTCTTTTGTGTGTGTCATAGTTTAATTTTGAAGTCGTCTTCTTCTCCGGAATTTGAAAAAAAAAAAAAAAAAAAATTTCAGTTGTTTTTTTCCCCCCCCCCCCCCCCCTTTTTTTTTTGTGTCTGGATTTATCAGATCTGTCCAGTCCATGCGAAACTGGCACTGAGATGTTAAACTGTGAGCAAACACTACATTCAAACCACTATTATGTGATCATTCCCATTTGACAATAAAACACACGGTTCTGATAGATGTCTCCAAATGTAGAAAAAAGTGGAATGAATATCCTCTGAAAGATATCTACACGTCTCCGTTTGCAGATTTGCAATTGCGACACAAATTTGGGAGGTTTCTTCAAGCTTCAAGTTTTTCGCCAACATTTTTGGGAGCGCTGATTTTATTTATTTTTTTTATTTAAATCGGGAGCTGGACAGAAGCACATTTTCTCAGATTTATTGTCGTTCTGTGTCTGGTTTGTATTTAATTTCTTTTTTTTTTGTGGGGGGGGGGGATTTGTATGTGGGTGAGAGCATTATGCAATTCGTTCTACTTAATTCATCTTTTACAGCCATTTTTTAAAGACAAGAGACCAATCGTTTTTTCTCAAACTCTTCACTCATAGTATATTTGTACTGTTGCCTATCCATGTAAAATTATGATGTACCATTCACACCTGCCTTGGCTCTGAGCAGTTGCTTTTTCAGTGACGTATGTAACTGGTAATACTGTTGTTTTTTTTCTTTTTTTTTTATAAATAAAGATCTTTTCTCAGACAAAATTTGGCAAAGTGTGATGTGGTTGGGAGTGGGTGATAAGGAAGGATTTCTGTCACTAAACACTTCTAATTAAAGAGAGTCTATCTTTGTAATTTCATCCCCTGGCACTTGCTGGTGCGAGTTCTCAAACTTGACACTGTTTGATCTCCGCTCCCTGACATCGGTGAGCTTTATTAAGCTTACGTTTTAAGTACGGTAATTATTAAGGCCTTCTGTCTGGGAAATAATTCACTTTTGTGTTAACTTGTTAATCCCTAACATTAAAACTTTACGTAGCGTTCAATCCCACATGACTCTTCTTCCCAAACTGAACATAAAGTCCAATACAACCTCAGAGCGATGAAATGGTCCACTTTACCGTTGTCTCCGGTTGCATGTCGACACGATTTCGTGTTGGGTTTGGGGGTTTCTTGAGGACGTGAAAGGATCCGGTTGTTTTCAGTATGCGGCACATCTGAAATGCATCTCCAACAGACTGAGAGGCAGCTGCAGGATCACGAGGACTTAAGTGCGTGTCGGCGTGTAAAAGTTTTGACATAAGTCATGCTAAGATGTGTAATGTGTCAGCCGAAGTGACTATTAATTTTACTGTGCATGAAGCGGCGCCAAACCTCCGCTCACATCCTGGGGTTTTAGCAACATGGCCAACTTTATATCCTTCAGTTTAATCATTTATTTATTGATAATTGGTAGATGGTAATTAACAATATAATTTGCCCAACTGCAACTGATTATTAATCCTAAAACTGTCACTGAAGTTATGTATTAATAACTCCTTTTCATATTTACATAAACATATTTGTCCTTGCTTGTACCACCTCCGTTGCACTTCTTTACCCCTAAGATTTCAAGAAACGTCGTATGTTAACATTCAGACCAGAAAACCAACATTTTTGCCTTTTGAATTACATATTTTCAGATGGGTGTGGGAAAAAAATCTAAAAGGAATTTTGATTTTTGAAGTGTAAAAGTAATAAAAGATATCTTACCTGTTGTAGATAGTTGTTTGACCCCTGCTTGGAGAAAGTTTAATTTGATCAAGAGGCTAGTTGTTACTCCAAGTGGAGCCAAAACCAAAGTGGACTTACTGTTTAATATTGACGGTCAGTTTAGCACTACATTAGTCCCTCGTTACTTCGCAGTTTGTCTTTCGCAGACTCGCTCTATCACGGTTTTTCAAAATAAGATTGGACATGGCACACAATTGGTGGATGGATGGATGAGCCGCACGATCGGTATGGAATTTTTATTTAAAATGAGATTTTAAATTATTTAGCACCTGCTGCACCTGTGTGCAGCCCACACTGCAGGAGAAACTTCCTCCTGCAGCTCCTTTCCTCTGTCGATCTCCTTTCTGCTGAGAAGTGGGCGTGGCTGAGAGCCGAGTCCATGACCTTTATTTACACGCATATATATATATATATATAATATATATACTAAAACTATTTACCCTTAACAAAAAGTAGTACATTTGAAGTTTATTTTTGCAAGTATACTTTAAGTTAAGTATATCCAGTATACTACACACCATACTTGTCGTGTACTAGAAGTATACTGATTTAATACTTGTTTGAACTAAATTGGGACATTTTTATACTATTTTTAAGTATATCAAATAAAGTTTATAAAAAGGAAACTAAGTACAAGTCCTCATTTTTTGTGTAAAATAAGTATACTTGTAGTATACTTAAATAAACTACTTTTTGCTAAGGGTACTACTTGTACTACTATTCCTTCTTTGTGGTTTTTCACTCAACGCGGGGCTTCAGAGTATGGATCCCCATGATAAATGAGGAACTACTGTAATTAAAGTCATTATGTAAATAAGTACTGCACTTGGTAATTCCAGTAGAAATTTGATTTTCCTACTGGAAGTATACAGGTTGTGCTACAGCTCATTGCTACTGCTACTAAATACGCTTCCATATAACCCATAGACGTATGTATTATGATCCAAGGGTGTCCGCTTTCTCCTTAATGTTAGGAATTGCAGGCAGCAGGAAACTGTCCTGGTATTTTTTTTGGACCTAGAGTCTGTGCACTGGGGATGTGGGGTTTTAAGTTCCACCTTCACATGCCCTCACAGAGGGTGTTCGGAGACCTTTCCATAAAACATGAAAGGTCTAACTACAGCTAACCATAACAGAAGAAATGGACATCTGAACGTACAGTAGCAACATGAACATAGTCATGAGTCACCACCTGGAAACATTTAAACTGTATTTCTATTTGTTTTTATGCAGGCAATGTTTAATTAGTTTTACATGTAGGGGCGGGGCTTAAAACATGTACAGGGACCAGCTAATAAGCAGTTTTATCATGTTCTGGTTTAAAAATTTGGGTTCTGGTCAGAGATCTAGATATTTATGGTCTATAATAAAAATATAATGACATTATCATAAAAATATGTTTTAAAAAAACATAAGATTGATTATATATGACTTAATTATTTGCTTGTAAAAATAGTGGCAGTGGCAGCTAGCTGTAACACTTCATCTAGAAATATTTTTCTGCCTAAACCGCTTTGTAATGAAAAACTGACAGCAGTGTAAAGGTTGATTAAATTAAACTTTCATGAACTGCTATAAAATGTTTGACTGAGGAGTTTCATGCTGGCAGCGATCCACTTTGGTGACACTCGGGGCTAGCCATTAGCTCCTCAGTCTGATCTTACTTCAAACAGATATAGTTTAAAGAGACATCTACAGCAGATAAGATATTAGTTGTTTAAAAGCTTTCCACAGAACCACATTTAAAAAGATCTGCACTTTAAACTGTGACAAACGAGTAAATGAGAAGACTGCCCCAGGATAACTAATTAAAGCCGTGTGATACTCAGGCGGCTATTTTTAAAAAAATGACCGTTTCCTTCAGAGAAATATATTTTTTATTAGTTTAGTTCAGGATGATAAGATTCTATGGTGCAGGGTTTCCAGAAAAGAGAAGCTGAGATAAAAAAAAAAATGAATGCATGCATATATATATATATACACATATATACATATATATATATATATATAT